AAGACTGCATTATAGCTCCTTTGATGACCATCAGCAGGGAAATTTTACTATGTTTGTGAATAGAATTGTGATACCCGGTCGATATGTGTCCTGTACCAACAGGAACACACAATGACCTTTATGGTATTATGTCAAATTTGATGAACTTTTATTTCATTTCATGTAGTAATCATTTTTTATCTGTAATATGTTACAGAATAAAACATTTTAAAACTTACAAATCATGTAATATCTGTATATTTATTAATTTCATTGTACTATAGCTCACTGTATGACTCCCTCTTGAATTTTTGTAGTAATTTAATTGATTTGATTAAAAAAAAACTGCACCAAATCACAAGGCAAAAATAAAATCCAAATATTGTAATCTGTTTTAGCAGAGTGAATGTACCAAGAAAACAGATAATTCACCCATTTAAATTTTTCATTCAACTCATTTAAGAAATGAAATACGCTCTTAAGTTTGTGTACGATAATTTTAATATTCAATCCTCATACCTTACCTGATTTCACAAAGTAGTTTCAATCTGAAGTATACATGACTAATCATAATTTATCAACAATTCATATAAAAGAAAATAAAAATAGCAAATTATGTATCATATTAAATACATTTAGTGCAACTTTTTGAGTGAATTTGACATCTCGTGTAATTACTCATCCGTTTCCAATTCATCAGATCTGTTTTACTTTTCGTTTCGGAACCAGACAGCAAATTTCATTTTGTGAAACCACCAAGTCATTTATCTGAACATGATCAACCATTGACTACTTTTTGAAAATAAATAAATAAATAAACTGAAAGCTTTCAGATTTTATATTATGCCCTGAGGTTTTTTTTTTTTTTTTTTTAACATTTTGTGTTATCTTTATTTATTAAATATCATGTTCTTCACACACTTAAATCATAAAATTCAATTCAACAGCAATATCACAAATATTTAAAAGAGCATGTCTTTCGAATTCCCAGTACACAGTCTCGCACATTGGAGATAAAAATGTTCCCTCCTCCCATACAGAGTTGCTATTGCTCACTTTGAAATCATTGAGTTTCTTAATCAAAGACTTATAAATGCGTTACAAGATATGAAATAGATAATAAAACAAATTCCAAATTAGGGCTTCCAGATGCCCATATTCTAATGGAGACATACATTATTCAAAATTTGATGGCCCTAAACACAGTTGTTTTATCACAACGTGAGAAACATACATACATTTATGCAGATTCTTCATTATTTAACTTCTTTAAATATAATACTCTAATATTTGGTGGCAACAATTGAAAAAGTGATTCACCATTTATAATGAATCAACGCAAAATGCCAAAACAAAATTAATAGCCTTTCTGGGCAAATTGCCCCTTTGAGCTAAAAAGATTATCTTCAAGAAAGCTGAAAATAAAAAAGCAGGAAAAAAAAAAAGATTGGCCCACTTTGAGAACAGCACATGACACTTTAGGAGACATTAATTTTTCCTCCCAAAGACCCATCCTTTAAGGAGTTGGGAAAAAAAAAAAAAAAAAAAAAAGAGGAGGAAAAATATTTAAAATAGAAAGCAGATGTCAAATTAAGCATAGCAATGCATATCATAAAGATGAGGTAAATAAAGGTACAGTGAGGACTATACATGCTCTTAATAGAAAAGAAAATAATTATTGATAAAATATTGTAAGCAAAAGCTACAATATCATTTCATCAGAAGTACAGGCAATTATATAAAGCATCGGTTAGAGTAGACTGAAGGGTACCCCTTGTATTATTGCGAAGATGTTGTTTCATTTATTGCCAAGTTGTTGTTTCATTTATGTTGATTGTTGCTGAGTAGTTGAATGTTCTGTACATCCGTAAATATACTCAGTCAGTAAATAAAGTCAAGGGAGTGAACAATGCCAAGTTTCTGCAATTCTCTGGTGATTTTTTAAGTGAAAATAGGTCAACGTGTTCATGGATAAAGAAAGTCAAGGCAGTGCACAATGCCTAGTTTGTGCAATTCTGTGATGTTTTTTTCCATTAACAAATGTATTTGTTATACCAATGTTTTATTATAACTCTCTTGTTCTGATCATAATTTGTAATTTTTCGTGTCGCATTTATGTAGGTCAATGTGCACAAACTCGGTATCCATGTGCCGCCAAAAATCACCAATGGGTACTCGTAAATATACTTTTACCAAAACATCACTGTGCAAGTAGTAATACTTTATTGATTATGCCAAAGCATTCAACTAGTTGATTTATACATGTATAATGGAGAGAAAATTTATGTGAAGAGGTCCTTTGCGAATGATTAGCATACTTGATATAAAATAAAATAATGGCTGATAATAGAACATCACTAATAGCACATTTCCTTAGATAACCACTCCCATAATACAAATCTATTTAAGTAAGAGGTTATTCTCTTTGGAAAGTTCGATTGCATTTTCTACAAAAAAAGCACACACTGTTTTGCATATCATTACATTCGTCCATATCTGTGTTGATAGCAAAAACTGAATCATAATATTAAATGATGAGAAATATGCCCAAGGAAATTGCAATACAGTTTAACTAAATAAATGGTTGTATAATAGAAATATAAAATTGCATGTTTCCACAGGACTTTTATTAAGAAATAAGAGCTAAAAATTCAATAATAGTGGAGAGCATGCAGTTGTCATGAAAAATTTCATTCATACACAGTTTATGAGCACTGGGTGAGACAGTTTTGAGAAATAATAAGTAAGAAAGTTTTCTCATCATCATATTCAAAGACATTTTTTTCATATTTTGTACTTGGATCTGTTTGGGAAAGTGACTGATTTTGCCATCAGTAAAAGTTATCCTGCTTAAAACAGTTTATTATTGTGTTTTCTGAAACATGGTTTCAAAATATGTATTTAGAAGATGCAGAAAATACACCAAGGAGGTTAGTCCTTATTAATTCATTTGCACTTTCATCCAAATTTTCCACATTATGAAGAATACAGCTCACCTCACGAAGATCATATTCTTTCATCGCTCTATAAAAATTCCTTAATCGCAAACTGGAATAACAGATATCATGTTTTCTGCAAGGAATAAAAATTCCAAATTTTCCTCATTATGAAGAATACAGCTCACCTCACGAAGATCATATTCTTTCATTGCTCTATAATAATTCTCTGATCACAAACTTGAATAATAGATATCATGTTTTTTGCAAGGAATAAAACTTCGGCATACTTTATGAAGTATGTTTTGTGACATGCAGTTGTGAATCAGATCAAAGGTAAAATTCTTTTCATCTTACAGTTTCTAAATTCATTCATTAAAAATTTCTGTCATCATCTACACCATACGTTATTTTTTCATAATTTCAAATTCATCAAGAAAAAAATCAAATACATTGCAACATTTTGCTCACATTAAATGACATAATAATTACAACAAACGATGAGTCAATTTCCCATGTTTCTGCACAAGTGCCGATGGAACATTGACATTTTGATACACTTAAAAACTCGCAAAACATTAGAATAAATTTTTATTTCAGAGGCAGAAACAATTTAAAAAATCATCACATCTGAAATTTAGTGTCATTCACTTCACAAATGATGTTAAATTATGCGAAAGCACAGTCATTTTACGATTAACTAAATTATCAACAGAAAAAATGCGTTCAAAATTCAGTATTAAAATAGTATTTTTATAATTAAACAGTTTCAGTGCTTTCGTAAGAGGAAAAAAAACTCAGTTTTGTATCCCTGATGGTAATAGTTTTAAATCAATATGCACAAAATTTATTCATACCACTAAAAAAATTATATGAAGTGCTAACAGAGATATTAAAAATTGAAATTGTTTTGTTCTTTTATTTATAATACGTTTAGCAGGAAATAAATGTTAATTCAAAGAACACTGCAATGGAAGTTCTCACATGTCCTATCAAACTTTTGTCAGTGATTTTAACTGAATTATCACCAGAAGAAATTTATTAATAAGCGAACACTACAACAACGAATATCTAAGATATTCTTTGACTACAACAACGTTTGCACCCTAACAAGAAATCTTCGATGTTTGTTTACATCGCACGATAAATTGTTAATCTTTGCCATAATTCACCGCGAAACATGATAAAAAGCCAAATATTGTAACCCATCCAGAAGCCAGTGACGTCACGGTAAACTTTTCCGTACACCTTTGGCGTGTGTCTGTACATAATTGTGACGGACTAATACGACTACTGTTGCCAAACTATTAAACTTATTATATTATTATTTTTTTTATTACATACTTTAATATTTTTAATTTAATCCTATTTTTAAATGACTTGCTACATACCTCACACACATGAGGTTCCTCTCCGGTGTGAATAAGCGTCTGCTCGTTCAAGTTGCCGTTTCGTCTAAATGACCTATTGCATATTTCACATATATGACGTTTTGCTCCCGTGTGGATAAGCAAATGATTGTCTAAATGATCTGTTTAAATGATTGATTACATACATCACATAAATGAGGTTTCTCTCTTGTGTGAATAAACATATGCTAGTTTAAATGACTTTTTCTCTAAATGACTGCTTACATTTCTCACACACGAGATATTTCTGCTGTGTGAATATGCTTGTATAAATGACCTTTTAGTCTAATTGATTTATTACATATCTCCTGCAATGAGATTTCTCTCCTGTGTGAATAAACATAAGCATGTGTAAACTCTGCTTCTGACAGCATGATTTGTCATATTGCTCATAGCCAGTTTCTTTCATGAATGTACTTTTTAAAAATATTCCCTTTTCCAAATCACACATTAAATCCTATTCAAAGTTTCTTTCCCAGATAGTTAAGTATAAGCTGACTCCACTGGTTTCACATGACGTGAGACATATCTCATAAGAATGAACGGGATCAAAGAATTTGAATGAACAATTTTGAAGCCTAATAAAAAAAACCTATATGTCATTTCGGGTAAAATTCGTAGAAGAGTCTTGGTTGAGACAATTTGGCTCCTTTAAACATGTAGGCGACATTTTATTATGTCAACAGTAGTTATGTACAAAATTTTTTTCCTCTCCCTCCTTCTATTTGCCCACCCTTCGCACATAAGTATAATTTTTTACCCCGCGGGCAGAAAGACTTACTTGGTGGCTGCAAAATAAAACATGCGTTTACTTTTTTACTACTTTCTGAAGATTTCTTATATGTAACTAGTTTTGATGTTGTCTGTGTAATACGATTCTTAAAATAAACAATGATCAGTTTCCGTTCTCAATAGCTAAGTGTACCACATATTGTGTACAGTTAAATGATTAACTTGTTTAGCGAATTTAAATATATGTTACCAAGTTTGTGTACTTAACACTTTATTACCTAGGGAAGAGGCTTTATTTCCCAACATAATATGCAACAAGACATTTAGACAAAGGAATATTTTAAACATGCTTAAGCAAAATCGCACAGCGCAGAAACTTCACATGTGTGATTTATGTAACAAATCATTTAGACTGAAAAGTCATTTAAAGGAACATTTGCTTATTCACACAGGAGAGAAACCTCATATGTGTGATGTATGTAAACAATCATTTAGACTGAAAGGTCATTTAAAGGAACATATGCGAATTCACACAGGAGAAAAACCTCATGTTTGTGAGGAATGTAACAAGGCATTTAGACAAAAGAGTAAATTAAAGATTCATATGTTTACTCATACTGGAGAGAAACTTTATGTGTGTCGAGTGTGTAGTAAGCCATTTCTACAAAAGGATAAATTAAACATACATATGCGTATTCACACAGAAGAGAAACCTCATTTGTGTGAGGTATGCCACAAATCATTTGCACTAAAAGGTAATTTAAAGATGCATACGCTTATTCACACTGGGGAGAAACCTCATGTGTGTAATGTATGTAACCAGTCATTTAAGCTGAAAGGTAATTTAAAGGAACATATGCGTATTCACACAGGAAAGAAACCTTATGTGTGTGAGACATGTTCTAAGTCATTTAGTCAAATTGGTGCTTTAAACAAGCATATGTTTATTCACACAGGAGTGAAATCTTATCTGTGTGAAGTTTGTAACAAACAATTTAGAGAGAAAGATAAATTAAACATGCATATGCTTATTCACACTGGAGAAAAGCCTTATACATGTCAAATATGTAACAGATCATTTAGGAAAAAGGGTAACTTAAACATGCATGTGCTTCTTCATACTGGAGAAAAACCATATGTATGCGAGGTATGTAACAAATCATTTAGGCAAAAGAATCATGTAAACTCGCATATGCTTATTCACAGAGATGAGAAATCTCACATGTGTAATATGTGTAACCAGTCTTTTAAACTAAAGGGTAATTTAAAGAAGCATATGCTTATTCACACAAGAGAGAAACCATATGAGTTATCTGTCTAACAGATCATTTATTTGGTTGGAAGAAGAATTTCAAGAAACAGGTGAATGATTTGGTTTGAAATGTACGCCAAGCAGATCTCGGCTACTGAGCCAAATTATTAATCTCACAAATTTATGCTTACATGATTGTTTTTCCACAACGAGGTATTTTATTTAGTGCTTAAGTGAAATTAAGAATCAGAATTTTTAAGTAAAAATCTCCACATATTTTATTATGGAAGGAAAAATAAAATTAGCATGCGTAAAGCATACAAAAAAAAATGTTTGTGACTTTGAGGTCCAGATTTTAGATCATTCCGGATAATGGATGTCCGGATTTTGGACTTTGTACTGTATATACAGTATATACAGTTTTTATATACAGTATATATAGCTACGTATATGTAGTATATACAGCTTTACGCATGCGCGTTTAATGCGCCCTTCCGATAGTGAAGAAAGTGACAGAAAAGTTATTGAAAATGAAAAAATTTCGATTGACAAGTTAGTCGGTATTCTCGACACAGCAATTACAGGACTTGAACAGTGGAAATTTGTAACTGAATAAGAAATTATGTCTGTTTATAGAATTAAAGAGAAAGTATTAGCACAAAAAATGAAGCAACTTAAAAAACTTACATTGAAAGAAATGGTTAATAAAGTAAACAAATAAATATTAAGCTTTTTTTTTTTTTGTAAACTTTGATACCCTTTATATCATAATAGCTCTTTATTTCATAAATTATGGTTTTATATTTTAATTGTATAATTTCTGCATGCCATCTTACCAGATTTAAATTGATGATCTATAATCCGAAATCACCAAAGTCCTGACGAGCCTGGATTATGGACTTTGTACTGTACAAGAAATTATGGTAATTAACTAAAAGACTGTCATCACTTCTATAATTTTATACTCTCCCCAAAAAAAGAAACTAGTTCTCACTTTAAAGGACAAACATATTGATAAGCATCTCCATTATTGATGTTTTGATATATTGTGATTGATGTACAATAATTGAATTTCCAGTGCTTGAAAGGTTAAGAAAATTTGAAGAAACATTTTATCAGCAAAAAATTCTACTATTTTTGTTAACATCTATGTATGATGAAATCCCTTGAAATTCTAGAGTTTTTTGTTTTTTAATTGAGAAAAAAAAATATATTTCCTCATGCACCACAAAGTATTACATGAGACTTACAAAAACATAAGTAAAAAAAGACACAAGAACTTAAGTAAAAAAACAAAAACGTAAGTAAAATTGTTAGGATAATTTCTTGATTTTTAACTATTCTCTACATATGATTGATGGTATATTTAGAGTGATTGTAAATTTTACCTTTCCCTGTCAGCAATGATATGAAGCTGCCTTTATAATAATTGCTATTGTATTGGGTCATAATTAATTCTCCTTTATATAAGAAAAATGTAATTTGTGATTTGATTTGATGTTAAGATGTGACACATGTATTTAGGTATCTAATGAAATTTGATATTGAATGAAAACATTTAAATAAATCAAAAAAATTTCTTCATTTAATTAAACTGAACTTTAGCAATATTTTAAGTGATTTGCCTAAATCCTTTTTAAATGTTTTGATTTAGCTCCACACACACACACACCCAAAAAATACTTATATTTTTCGACTATATAGTTATTATTCCACCAGAATTCCTTAGCCATTTCACAAAACAGATACACTAAATCTCTTTAAACTGCATAATTTCTTAATCTATGGTAAACACTGATATATTTTATTAACTAGTTTGCCATACAATTTTCTTGAAAAAATCATTGTAATATCTAATAATTTCAGTTTAAAAATGAATGCAGTAAAATTGTTATGCTTGTTAGGATAATTTCTTGATTTTTAACTATTCTCTACATATGATTTTACTTTTTGGTTGCTAAATGAATAGGATAATACATATAATTGCATTTTTAATAAGTAGTCATCTATAAATTCTAAAAAATCAGCAATATATGTTTCTAAATTAATAGAAGTATTAAGATGACATGGGCTTATGTTGTTCTAGGAAAATGTGTATAGCTTGCAAATACTGTAATAACAGTTGCTCGTTATGAAAAATTATATTTCGTTTTTTCCTTTAAATTTCAAATAAAATTTCATAAGTTAGAAAAAATTTTTATTCTCATATATACTTCATACATCATTTAATAAATTAGGTAAAGTAGGAACATATCTCCATACTTTACACAGTTTGCAAGAAATAGCAGCATAGTGATTAGCATACACAAGTCTTATGGAAATCAGTGAAGCATCACAATTGAAATCATAAAAATAAATGTATTGCTGATAGTGAAGCATTTCAAGCACAAATTTCGGACATGCCCTTCCAAAGGTAAATTTCACATAAATTACACTTTTAAGTTAAATAATTATATCAATAAATATATTACTAAACTGACTTCACATGGATATTTTTAGACTGGTGTGAAAACACAGGAAAAAATTATTATAAAGTACACTCAAATATTTATGACTCTCGTAAAAATGTAACTGACTGATGATGCTTATAAAGTTTAATGAATTACAAAAATATTTAGTCAGCTGTTGAGTTTTTACATCTATATATGTTATTCATAAATTGCAAAAACATTTGGTCAGTGTTATGATATATATGATTAATTTTTCATGTAATTGTCATTAGAAAATTATTACACCTAAACAATGAATTGTGAAGGACTTTCTGAAGAGTCATAGCATTACTGAATAAGAAATTACTGAATGGAAGCAGAATTGCAAACAGCAATAAAATGCAATATAAATGCAGTGCTTTTGCAATGAGATTAATGGAAATATTAACAGAAGCAATACAGCTATGAGAAATGTTTTTATATTTTAGTTTTCAACATGATTTATAATACAATACTGTACTGTTTGCTCACTTAAATGCAATAAATAATGAAAAATACTGTTAATTGAATCACATGCATGTTAAGAATATCTGAAAATGGAAAGAATTATCTAAAATAATCAGAAACATTTCTTTAAACTGAAAAAAAGACTTAGACTATGTAAATGGCAATACAAACAAAATTATGCATGCAGAAATGTGTTAAAATACTGATAAATTATTTGGTTCAGTTATGACATGGTAAAACTGCATGGTGCAAAAACATGGTGAACTGCTAAATCATTTTCCAAAAATGATTTAGCATTTTTGGAAAATGATTTAGCAGTTCATCATTAAGACTATAATTACCCCAAATCCAAGAAAAAACATTTTATTTATGTACATGAGTTACTAATCTTTTAAGTGAAAGCAATTTTGCACACCAGAGGTATGATGCAAAACAAATGAAATGTATTAGCATTACAATATATATCACTTAAGCAATTAGATAACCCAAATGATTGTACAAATGAATAAATAAAAATGTTGCTAACAAGTGGGTTTTTTTTAATATTTAGTGTCATTCATATAAGAATATTCATTTAAACTAAAATTAATGAAAGAAAAAAGAAAGAACATCAAAGAGTAGTGATTTAGCAGGTTACTATTCCTTCATAAGTTACCAATGAATTTTTTTGTAAAAATGGGACTAAATTAAAAGAATCGTTGTATTATTATTTTCCTTCTTTTGTACCATTGTAACAAATACAATGCTGCCACAGTAAATAGGACGATCACTTACATAAACGTGACTATTTTTCTTCGCTTCTTTGTATCATCAGAATAACATCGCCATACGAGAAAAAAATAATTGATTACTGTAACATGCAAAAAGCGTTATTTCCCTTTATGTGGTAAGATTACAGCAACCTTGAATTTGATGCATTTTGGCACCAACTAAGGTGGCAGAAAATATTGCCAAGAGCTTGTTTTCTGAAATTTGCCATTACAAAAACCACAACTTTTTATATAAAAAGGCAGTTAACCAGAGTTTAAATTACGTCAGAGCCCAGCTCCGGTACTTCTTAAATTTTGGGGTAAATCATAATTGTAGCCGGAGTGCGAAGGAGCCCTAAATAAGAAGCAACTCCGGCACTTCTTTTATGTAACTGAACAACAATTTCAGTAGAAATTTAGTCTCGAAAATTTTATTTTTTGCAATAAAATTATATAAAAATTGCTTATTAAATTTTAGTTTATCTCTTTACATTTTATTTAATTTTAATTACTTAAATGTTTAATTATTTAAATAATAATAATTAGTTTTTATTTAATTAAATATATTCGATAAATATTAATTGTTAATATTGATTAAATAATTAATAATTACTGTGATGATAATTAACTATTTAATTTTAAAATTAATTATGATTTTAAAAGTCATTTTATTTATTTATTTACTGAACAAGGCATGTACATTTCTTGTTTTTTTAACGCTCTTTTAGCTTCATGTACATATAGCTGTCCGGTATTACGCGAGTGTATTATCTCGTACTATTTATAATACATTCACGTAATACTGCTTTCCTAAATACTAAAATTTCTTATTAACCTAACACTTCCCTATGACATGTGGTTTCTGCTCTGCATACATAAACATCAGTTTCTGCAAATTATTTTTCCATCCAAATGACCTCTTACATACATAACATTGCTCCTGGGTGAATAAGCACGTGCTTGCTCAAATGACTCTGTATACAGTCAAAAGTCGTTAATTCGGACACCCATAATCTGGACCTCAAAGCTAAAATCTATCTGCGCATGCGCATAGGCATTTACGAGTGCGCGCAAGACCTTTACGACTGCGCATATGCGTCTGCGCGGAATACGTTTTCGCGTGCGCGTTTAATGTATAACTGACGGTATAAGCTAAAATTATCTAATTATCTATTTAAGTTAATGTTGATGATTGCATTGTTCCTTTATCTTTGAATTGGATCCGTCTTATTATTTTTTGCAGACTGTAAAAGCAATTTTATAAAAGTAAGCTTGAACTTTCGATTATGTCAAATAGAATTTCCGATGCTGGAGCTCCCAAAGGATCTAGAAAACAAAAGTATGTTTCGATGTCCATCAAACAAAAAGTGGAATAGCTACAAAAAATGGATAAAGGCATATCCTTTGTTTATTTAACCGTTCTGAAATCTGTTTATCAATTTCACGCTGCTCTGCACGTGGGGGGCGGGGACGTCGTGGCGCGCAATGAACTGGAAGTTGATCTGTCAGCACTATCGTTATCTTCAGGGCAGATGTTTTTATTTTATTCAGCTTATAATTTCTTACTAAATGTTGTATTTCATCTCGAGGTACTCCATCTTTGATATGATTTAAATCAAATTCTTCGTCATTATAAATATCACGAATACAAATCAAATAGTTTTCTGGTTGCAATTTTCAAATTTCGGCTATGTGTAATGTATGCTTTACGCATGCGCGCGTTGAAAGAAATGTTTAATAAAGTAAACAAATAAATATTAAGCTTCTTTTTTTGTAAATTTTGATACCCTTTAGATCATAATTGCTCATTATTTTATAAATTATGGTTAATATTTTTAATTTTATACTTTCTGCATGCCATCTTACCAGATTTAAACTGATGATCTATAATCCGGAATCGCCGAAGTCCCGACGAGTCCGGATTAAAGACTTTTGACTGTATACATCATATGCATAAGGCTTCCTTTCTGCGTGCATATGCTAAAAGTCAGTGTGGCACAGCATTTCAGGTCTCCTCTTGGAAGCACTTCCGCAGAGAACCCGGTAAATGTAAACATCACCAACTTTGGCGATAATAGTTCAAACCTGGTAACCTAGCTAATTCATCCTATTCGCTTTCGCGAAGGTTGTCATTCGCATTTGGAGATTTATATTATTCTTCTCTTATTTATTATTTTTTGTCTGAATTTTTTAACAACGAATATATAGAAATATTTTCGCATAATTAAAGAAGTTTTCGTCCCAAGATGCGGTTCTCGGCTCGTCAGTTCGGGATCAAAATAAGAAAATATGGCGGGAGGGGTGAATGCTAATTTGTAACAAGGCTGTTCACGTTATGTTCTTAATTATTAACAGCTGTACGCATGCAGAACCATGAGGTTTCCAACCCCTATAATAATTTTAAAATGTATAAAGTTCTAGTTTTATTAACAATGCTACAGAAGAAAATTTGATTACTGTTGAAGGTTATTTGTATTGTGAAATATATTATGAAAAAGGACAGATATTTGTTTCAACATAAAATGCTTTAAGCTGTATGTAAGTAACTTAAGAATTTAATAAAAATACTTAAAACTATGTAAAAAAAATACTTAAAACTATGTAAAATGGATGTATTAAAGGGCATGGCTCTTACCGAAATACATCAATCAACAAGCAAAGTACTTAATAATGAAAAAAGACGCAATAGAAATATTAGTATTCTATATGAATTAGACAAAATACATATAAGTATAACGTCAACGTAAGTATAAGAATACTAATTTTTATTTTTTAAATGAATTTTTACTTCCCGTTATGTTTAATACATTGTTTTCTGTGCTAACTTGAATTTAATACAAATTTATTTTCGTATATCACGTTTAACCTGTTAGTTTTACATCTACATACTTATTATCTGTGAATTTTTACTACCATTGTCTGCTAACTTGAATTGGTTGATCTTTACAATATGGTAACTGGTAGTTTGGCGACATTTTGGAGGTGATAAAGGTTACTACCTGGGACTTTGGTAATAATGTGAGCAGTACTCAGTTCCGATTACGCATTATTTTGTGTGAGGGAAATGAGAGATCATGGGATATGTCATGTGATATTAATGGACGAATTACGGTTCTTTAATCGGAAAAGGGGGGAAATCGGGAAAAAATCTGGAAATTTTGTATTTGGCTTTATTCTGTGTTGTGTGAAACAGTGTTGGTTAATTTTTGGATCCCATGGCCGTAACTAAAGTGAATTCGAAATGGGTATTTAGTGGTATTGAAAAGGGTAACCTTATATATAAATCCTTATATTTAAGGATAAATATAATAAGATCCTGAAACAGAAAGAAGAAAAGTTTATCGGACACGTAATCAAGATTCTGAAGAAGATTAGGTAAATTAGTATTTTTAATTATTTGAGGATATTATTTTTATGCATTGTTCTAAATGTAAGGTGGAAAGGAATTTGGTATTATTGGGAAAATTGTTATTAGCAATGATTTAGTTTAAAGTAATTAGGATTGTAAGGTAATTTTTATTAATTTAATGTATGTGCTCATTTATATTTTAAGTAGTGTTTTTGAATTTAATTATATTTTAATGAAATGATAGTTATTTTGTGAATTTTATGTTTGTAGGAATTTGGTATATGTTTTAGTTGAAGTAAACGCGCATGGAAATAATTTAAATATCTGACACTAAGTATTTGTAATGGTTGCGGTATGAATTCGTTGGTGACGTGTATAATGTAATAGATGATTTAGAGGTAAAAGTTTTTGGATATTTTATTTATTTTATATGTGGAAATGTTCATATTTGGAAAGGGTAAATACTTTTTCGCGATCAGGTAATTTCATATATGTTCTTTTTACCGGGTTTAAAGATTGAGAAAATTGTCATGTATTTTTGTGAAATTTTTCTAATTTATGAGAAAAAAGCAGTGTACATGGATATAGTGAAGAGTGTGCGCAATGCCATTTTTGTGCAATTCTGGGATGTTTTTTTTAAGTAAAAATAAGTCGACGTGTACATGGTTTAGTGATATTTTTAATTAAATGATAGTTATTTTGTGAATTTTATGTTTGTAGGAATTTGGTATACGTTTAAGTTGAAGTAAACGTGCATGGAAATAATTTAAATATTTGATACTAAGTATTTGTAATGCTTGCGGTATGAATTCGTTGGTGACGTTATAATGTAATAGATGATTTAGAGGTAAAAGTTTTTGGATATCTTATTTATTTTATATGTGGAAATGTTCATATTTGGAAAGGGTAAATACTTTTTCGCGATCAGGTAATTTCATATATGTTCTTTTTACCGGGTTTAAAGATTGAGAAAATTGTCATGTATTTTCGTGAAATTTTTCTAATTTATGAGAAAAAAAGCAGTGTACATGGATATAGTGAAGAGTGTGCACAATGCCATTTTTGTGCAATTCTGGGATGTTTTTTTAAGTAAAAATAAGTCGGCGTGTACATGGTTTATGTGTATGTGTTATTTTGAAAAATGCGTAAGTAGTATGGTATTGTGCACTTTTTCCCAATTTTGCGGTGAATATTTGTCATGATTAAGCAGTTTTGTTTGATAAAATTTCTAGCATAAGTGTAATTCGGCTAGTAGATTGTTGGAAGAAGTGTTCAGTAGATAAAAAGAAAAGAAACATGTCTTTACTTCGTGAAGACAAAATGACGGCGGGGGAAAAAAAATAGAGGGTTGCTGTAGGAGAGTTGGTTGCCAAATTTTCGCCAAAAAATCGCCAAGTTACCATAATGTAAAGATCAACCCTTGAATTTACATACACTAAAAACCACGTTTACGACTCTGCTCATCCTAAGCTTGGCGAGTAAAAATGCAACTGCGCCAACGGGTTCTCTGCGGATGAAAACCCCTCCTCTTAAAGACCTGTATTTAAAGATTTTCTGTGAGCCAAATTTTTATAACTTATTTTAACCCATTTTCTTAAACTCCAACAACTGACTGAAATGATACTTACATCATTCACAAAAGTAAGAAAACAAAACATTTTAAATTATAAATCAAATAGATATACCAAGTGACAAAAGAATCCGATGAGATATGCTAGATGCACCATATGTAGAAAGTTACTGCCCAAAACTTTTGATGGGAAAACCAAGTTTTCACAGACTTGTTGGCCCTAAAGTGGCAAATGTAAACAAATGACTTAAATAATTAAAATAATGTAAAACCACGGGTATTTACCATTGGAGAAAGGGAAAGCAGCATAAAAAAAATTTTAATAAAAACACAGCAGAAATAAGAAAAAGAACCATACAAAAATGTGTAATCTGGTTACATAGGTTGCCATACAAAATAAAATCTTAATATCTCATTACTACCATGCTAGAGAAAAATTCGCTAGATTTGGCAGACAGTGCAGCTAGCACATCTATCAAAAAAAATCTCATGACCGAATAAAGGCAATCATGCCATTCAAGAGATTAATACACCCTTTTCTCGAAATCATTTATTAGACATCTCCAACACATGAAGTTTGAGTAAAATCCTAGTATACGGAGCAGCCTTGGCATGATTTTGAAAATTATCGCCAACACCAAAAATGACCCAAAGAACGTCTATGTATATAGTACATATATTTACACTATATACATAGCATATATTATGTACTATATATATCTTCTTTGAATGACCCGTTTACTACTCATCGTATATGTCCCGTTTTTACTGCTCATCATAAAGTCGCCAAATCATTGGATACCAGTGCACTGGATACTAGGATTAAACCGAGGTTTCTCTTATATGGGCAACCAATATGCTACTTTAAATAGCTTTTTCATCTAAATAAACTGTTACATTACACACACATGATTCCTCTCATGAGTGAATAAATGTATGCTTGTTTAAATCATCTTTCAGTTTAAATGACTTATTATACATTTCATACAGATGAGCTTTCTTTTGTGTGAGTAAGCACATGCCTGTTTAATATAGACTTTTGTCTAAATGACTTCCTACAGATCACACACATATGAGGCTTTTCTCCTGTATGAATAAGCATATGCACTTTTAAATTACTGTTATGATTAAATGACTTGTTACATATTTGACATATATAAGGTTTTTCTCCTGTGTGAATAACCACATGCATGTTCAAATCATACTTTCTTGTAAAAGACTTGTTGCATACTTCACACACATGATATTTCTCTCCTGTATGAATAAGCATATGCTTATTTAAAGCACCACTTTGTCTGAATGATTTATTACATATCTCACACACGTACGGTTTTGTTCCTGTGTGGATGAGCATATGCTCCTTTAAATTACTTTTCTGCTTAAATGACTGGTTACATACATTACACACATGTGGTTTCTCCCCTGTGTGAATTAGTGTATGCACTTTCAGATTACATTTTAGTCCAAATGACTTACGGCATACTACACACACATGGGGTTTCTCTCCAGTATGAATAAGTATATGCTTGTTCAAATCATCTTTTTGAGCAAATGACTTGTTACATACTTCACACAGAAAACTTTTCTCTCCAGTATGAATAAGCATATGCAACTTTAATTTTCTCTTTTGCCTAAATGATTTGTTACATTCCTCACAAACATAAGGTTTTTCTCCTGTGTGAATAAGCATATGCTCCTCTAAATGACCTCTCCGGCTAAATGACTGGTTACATACATCACACAGGTGAGGTTTCTGCGCTGCATGAATATGCTTAAGCATGTTTATATCATGTTCTATTGTAAACAGTAGTTAACAGTAGGTTAACGCTTCGCACACGAGGTTTCTGTCTTTTGTGGTATGCACGTACAGCTTATTCAAGCTTTAAGATGCACAATACAAAACAAAGAATTCATTTGATACAACGATAAAACCATTTCAAACTTTACTGCCAAACCTGAAGATTAAAAAGTAACACCTTTGTAAGGAAAAATTATTACAAGCTCCATGAAATATGACGTCACTCTTGAAAAGACTTTTAGCAATTAGCTTTTTTTGTGTGGCAATGTTATCTGTATTCCATGACTTTGCTTTTGAAAGCATTCGTTTCGGTTTCAGATGTAAACATTAGTAAATTTGAATTTCAATGAAATATTTTGCTTTTGATAGCTTTCGTTTCGGTAAGTAATTGAATAGTAAATTTGTAATTGAATTAGTAAATTTGAATTTAAGGGTAAGATTTGGACCTTTTAGAGTTATGACGTATGACAGTTCCGGGCTAAGTCTACTAGTATATTATCACCCAACTGGCTTCCTTCCACACGACTGAATTACCAACTGTAAGTAGTAAACATTGTTCGAAATTTAATTACTATGTTGAATTGTATTGCATTTTTACTATGGACGCTTAAAAAACAATATTGAAGATTGTTTACTAGAACTTTAAACGATTTTGAAAATGATGAGCGTAATTTAGTTAAAAAATTACAAAGGTTAATTAAAGAAAAAGCGAAACCAGTGCGAGAGCTTGAACAAGCGATGAGAGAACAGTTTTTTTTTTTTTTTAATTTGAGGAAAGTAAGGATATGTAACCAGTCATTTTGAAACATGTTCTCGAAGGAAAATTAAAATATTCAGCAGAAATGGTTGAAAAGTTGACAGTTTTTATGTCGATAACTGTATAAGGAGCGTCAGAAATGATCAAAAATTACAATACGTCACACAGATGGTTACAGACATTTTAGCTGAAAGGAAATTCAAATATTTTGCGAGTACATAAAATTTTAGTTTGCGCAATTTTTTACATCCTTGAAGAATTGTTTTTTGTGTAAAATTTTTTAATCCATTTCTGCCATTATCTAGTATGTATTCTACTAAAAGACAAATAGTTTCATCTTTTTCTAATTTACTTGGTCATCTGCATCCTGAAGTAGGATGCAATTAAATTTGTCCCTCTTATGACAAAATTTACAGACTTATGATTACTGAAGAGAGTATATTGAAATATGCATGTTCTTGAATATATATTTATATTTTCTGACTTTGAAAGTAAGATAGTTAAAAATCTGTAGTTTACAAAGTTTTCTGTTTTTTATAAACTTTTTACAACCTAGATATAGAGAATGATTGAGTAATAATATTACTGATTTTATTGTGTAGTGATTTGATGTATCCTGTATGTAACAAATTTTATGTACAGTTTTATCTTTTTTACCATATGGAGTCCATTAGGATCAAGAGGATTTCCATTGATTGCTGTATTGCTTCCAAATGTTTTTTTCATGAGAAAATATTTTCATGCCACTTATTTTGTGAAATGTGTATGACGTACATCTTGAATATAATTTTATAAACCTGTCAGCAGTAGATTTAAAGAATCTGCCATTATCTAGTCTTAGTTGTGTAGTAACAAAAATTATGTACTGATTTTAGTGTGCAGGTATTGTGTTTATCTTGTACAGAACAAATTCTATATAAAATCTTGCTGTTTTGTTTCAATTCGGAATGTGTGGTAATGTGTAACTATCATATCTAGTGCATCTTTGATGGTTATATATCATCAAACATTCCTGATTATCTACTTAGATCCAGTTATTAGATAACTGAGCTACTTCTTGGATCAAGTAAAAAAAATTGAACTCATAATGAGTTTTATAAGTTTGCAATAGCAAGTTTTGTGTAATAATTTTTAATTTTTGGTCCAGTAGTTTTTCTTTGATTTGCTATATCCAACATTAAGTGAAATAAAACATAATAGCTTTTGTGTTGAGGAAAATTGTAATTTGCAATATTTATGACTATGTAATATGATTATTTGTGATTTTAAAGCATGGGGGGGGGGGGGATATGAAGCAATTTAAGTACATAGCTTATGCGTGATTTTCCATATTCATATAACCTAACTTGCACTTCATGGCAACTAATAAATAAGGTTATATGCTTGTATATCTGGTACTATTCGGTTTCAAGGGCCGTAAAAAAATTGCAGCGAAAATGTATGCGCAAAAGCGCCAAATCTAGAGTATGCGTTGATTTCAAATTGCGTAAGTTTATATAGTTCTATATTTTTTAAGATGCCATTGAAATACTAGTTTAATTTTTAAATCCTTTTTTTTTTTTTTTTTTTTTTTTTTTTTTTTTTTTTTTTAAATCCTTTTTTGATATCCTATGGATTTAACAATTTAGGATTTGCCCATGACAAAAACTCGGCAATAGAATTTTGGGTAAAGTGCAGAATCACCCACTGCTTGACATGTTTTTAAGAATTGCACATACTCGGTATCCATGTGCACATCAACCTATTTTCACTTAAGAAAAAAAACCTAGAATTGCATAAAAATGGCACTGCGCACACTCTTGACTTTATGTATGTACACATCGACCTATTTCCACTTAGGTAATAGTAACTTCCAAGTAAAAGAAAATTGACAAAAAACCAATTGTTTTTAAACTTGTAAAAAGCGGCAAACAAATAAGTGAGCGACTCTGCACTTTACCAAGAATATTGTCAAAGAAAAGGCAATCATTTAGAAAACAACAAATAAAAATGAAATTATGATGAAAGATAGCGATCGGTTGTGGAAATAGCGATATTAGGTATTGATTCATATAAATTTTATATATATATATGATCTGAAATAGTTATTTGCTCTTATGTTTCCATTCAGTCAGCGTGTATACGAGCCAGTTTCCCTTAGAAAGTCCTCCATGAAGGCATCCCTCCCCTTAGGCAGATAGCCCTCGTGTGCTTTGCCATAATTAAATTAAATTAAATACACCATTCAGTCAGGTTTAGCCTTTTTCATACAAATTATAATAAAAAAAAGTATTATATGAAATTAACCTCTCATTTAAATTAAAACATCAATCTTAGATAGTTATTTACTATTACAGTCAAAAGTCGTTAATTCGGACACCCACAATCCGGACCTCAAAGCTACAAACTTTCTGCGCATGTGTCGCATTGATGCATGCACATAGGCGTTTACGCATGCGTGTAACACCTTTACGGCTGCGAATATGCATGTACGCATGCTCATAATACGTTTATGCATGCGCGTTTAATGTAAAACAGACGGTATAAGCTAAGATAAAATTATCTATTTCAGTTAATGTTGCAGATTGCGTTGTTCCTTAATCTTCGAATTCGATCCGGCTTATTATTTTTTGCAGACTGTTAGAACAATTTTATAAAAGTAAGCTTGAACTTTCGATTATGTCAAATAGAATTTCTAATATATATTTACTAATATGTAAAGGATCTACAAAGCGAAAATATGTTTCGAAGTCCATTAAACAGAAAGTGGAATTGCTGCAAAAAATCGATAAAGGCATATCCTTTGATTATATAATCATTCCGAAATATGTTTATCAATTTCACGCTGCTCTGCGAGGGGAGGGAAATGATGCGGCGCGCAATGAACTGGAAGTTGATCTGTCAGCACAATCCGGTTGATCTTTGGATTATGGTAACTTGGCGATTTTTTGGCGACCAACTCTGCTACAGCAACCCCCCTTTCCCCCCCCCCCCCCCGCTATTTTGTCTTTACGAAGTAAAGACATGTTTCTTTTCTTTTTATTTACTGAACACTTTTTCCAACAATCTACTAGCCGAATTACACTTATGCTAGAAATTTTATGTAACAAAATGCTTAATCATGACAAATATTTACTGCAAAATTGGGAAAAAGTGTACAATTGCAAACTCCTTGTGCGTTTTTCAGAATAGCACATACACATAAACCATTTACATGTCGACTTATTTTTACTTAAAAAAACATCCCAGAATTGCACAAAAATGGCATTGCACACACTCTTAACTTTATCCATCTACACTGCTATTTTCTCATAAATTACAAAAATTTGTACGAAAATGCAAAAAAATTCTGTGCATCTTTAAACTCGGTAAAAAGCACATACATGAAATTACCTGATCGCGAAAAAGTACATACCCTTTCCAAAGCTGAACATTTCCATGTATAAAATAAATAAAATATCCAAAAACTTTTACCTCTAAATTATCTATTATATTATAAACGTCACCAACGAATTCATACCGCAAACATTACAAATGGTTACAAATACTTAGTGTCAAATATTTAAATTATTTCCATGCACGTTTACTTCAACTGAAACTTATACCAAATTCCTACAAACATAAAATTCACAAAATAACTATCATTTAATTAAAATATCACTAAACCATGTATACGTCGACTTATTTTTACTTAAAAAAACATCCCAGAATTGCACAAAAATGTCATTGCGCACACTCTTCACTAACACTGCTTTTTTGTCATAAATTAGAAAAATTTCACGAAAATGCATGAAAATACTCAATGTATTCTACTCAAACGTATTTCGAAATACTACAAACATATAACTCACAAAATCACGATCATTAAATTAAAATATAATTAAATTAAAAACACACTACTTAAAATATAAATAAGCACATACATTAAATTAATAAAAATTAGATTACAATCCTAATTACTTTAAACTAAATCATTGCTAATAACAATTTTCTAATAATACCATATTAATTTATTTACTCCTTACATTTAGAACAATGCATAAAAATAATATTCTCAAATCATTAAAAATACTAACTTACCTAATCTTCAGAATCTTCATTACGTGGCACGTACACTTCTACAGAAAGAGTTCCAATCGGCTGCAGTACTACTGCTAATTTCTAAATCCGAAATCCAGTAGTCAACTGGCAGTCTATTCACCCAGTAATAAGAAATTAATAAAATTTCACCCGTACTCAAACTACTTTCAGCAAACCACAGATAAATGTATTAAAAATTTAGAATTCACTTTACATAGCGCCATGCAATCCGAAAATTAATCAACACTATTTCACACAACACACAATGAAGCTTAATACAAAATAATATAGTACTACAGTTTTCCAAATTCTCCCCCCCCTCCCCCCCTTTTCTGATTAAAGAACTGTAATTCGTCCATTAATGTCACATGACATATCTCATGATCTCTCATTTCCCTCACACAAAATAATGCGTAATCGGAACTGGGTACTTCTCACATTATTACCAAAGTCCTAGGTAGTAACCTTTATCGCCTCCAAAATCTCGCCAAACTACCAGTTACCATATTCCAAAGATCAGCCTACTATCCTTATCTTGAGGGCAGATGTTTTTATTTTATTTGGCTT